TTCCGATGTTGCAAATATATAAACTGTCGTCCACGATTTTACCTGCTGACAGTGACGTCATAAACGTATTGATTTGCATCATAGTATGATAGAGTATTTTATTGATGACACATTTCTGGTCGATGCTTTGAAATTGTGTGGGATAATAAAAGAAACGAAAACCGGACGAGCGACGAGATAATAAAAGAAACAGGCTAAATGAGATTATCAGCGGAAACTCGACCAGTTGTAACTGTAGATACATTAAAGTCAGCGAGGACTGAGCATAATGTGTGGTTCTATTGAATTTAGTCGACTTCGTTTCTCTATGCCTTATCTAATGCCGTGAATTATCGTTAGTTAGAATGAATTTTATATATCGACCAGAACGTCTTGTTAATTTCTAGCGGTGTGGCATCAGGCTAAACATAATCGGAGAACGTAATATGGCATACTTATGGAGCCCGCTTAGGACGATCACATGTTGAACAATCCATGGCCTTATAAAGACCATGCATGTAGAAGATAGGTATATCTATGACGCTCTGTGTTAAGCATATTTTAGTGGCTACAGATCTCAGAGAGTCAGGGCTGGGATCTGGCGTCTTTAGACTGGTGTACTTGAATTAATCCGAGTCCAATAACGGACTTTTAGCGAAAAATTAGCGTTTAAGTTTTTTACTAAAACAGAAATATGGCTTGTAACGCAACCGATTTAGCATTTTATTTTGACGCAAACCTAATGGCGGTTTTGATATGAATTATAATTAGCGTTTAAGTTTTTTACTGAAACGGAAATATGGCTTGTAAACGCACCCGATTTAGCATTTTTATTTTGACGCAAACCTAATGGCGGACGTGTGGTTTTGAATTTGATATGAATGTGCAATAAAATTTTAGATCAGCGTTACAATTCATTAGTCTCTGTTATTTTGAATATTCAGGCAAGTGCCTCATAGAAAAAGGTATAATTTCAACCAAAACCTCATTTATTTGAGGAATGAGTCCAAGTTGGGCGCAGAAGCCTAGCCAGGAGGGACTCAAGGTGACCACGGTGATCCAGAAGTATGCGCAGCAAGATGTCGCACAACCTGAACCCTAACAGGTACACACATACTATGTTCAGGTTGTGCGCCATCTTGGTGCGCATACTTCTGGAGGTCCGAATAAACAAATTATTTAATATTGAGTGTAAACATCGAATGTGCTAAATTACATAAAGCATGGCCTATTTTTTATTGCTTAACTATAACTAATCAACAAAAAAATTAAATGTATAAAACAAACAAAATGTCACAACGTGCGCCGCCAGTAATTGACCTAAATGTTCACATAATTATGTAATTAAAAAACAAATAAAATCTGCATAATAAGAAATGAAGCAAGATTCTGATTGACATTTCTGCTAAAAACTGATTCATTTATTAATATTATATAAATACGTTGAAATTATAAGCTTCTAATGTGCGTATTAACTGTTGACTCATTTGTTGTGGTATTTAGTTAATTGCGCGTGATATTCAATGAAAATAGAATCGTTCATTTTTAAAAAATGTATAGATTTCTTGTGTCATTTTGCTGTATTACATAGGTAGAGTGATGACAGTTTCAATCGGTGATAATTTGTCCATGTTTTGCTATTTTACGCCCTGATTGGGTGCCTCGGTGTTCAATTCTTTGTATGATTCACTTTTGTTTAATATTTTGTAATCATATAACTACATAGAAGTACTTTATCAGAAGCAGGTAAACCGTGGGCAATGACTGATCTGACCCATTTTTGTTTGATTGCGAGAGGTTTCACGATATTTATTCAGGTCCATAAGCGTAGCCATGGGTTGAGGGGTAGCTAAGGGTGACCGTACATTTGAACCCATACAATTGCACCTGTATATCCGCGGATTCAATCTATATGAGAGTGATAAAATCCATGGGTTAGGGTTAGTATGGGTTCAAATATCCGTAAAAAAATAACTTCCATAGGTGCAATAGTATGCAGGTGCAATTGTCATGGGTTCAAATGTACGTGGTTTCAAATGTAATGGAACCAGCTAAGGGGCATTGCAACCCCCCAAAAAACGTTTCCAACATTTTTTTGTTTTCGGAAATGGCATTGTGGCATTTGCAGTGAGATATAGATTCTTGCGCATTTTTCAACACCATTTTGCTCTATTCTATTTGATAACGATTTACTGAAAACCGGACGTTTCACTGCTTGCTATCAATAATCCGTTCTCCAACTGAGCTAATCGAGACAGATGATTATGCGCACCTATATAGCTTGGATAACTTCGACGGCAAAGTAAGTCTGAGGAGAGATTCTTTGAGGTATCGGGACTGCGTATATCAGGTCTTGTTCGGAGTAAAAAGGAAGAGTAAGCGTCGTATTACGTCCATATACCCCCCCCCCTCCCCTGTCCAATTCTGGTCTGGCTACGAGCTTATTGAAGTTTCCATTTCACGTCCCGGTTGAGTAACTAGGCATCGTATGCTCTGTCCTAATTTGCACGTATACTGTATTTATAAAAATTCATAAATTCATGTGAAATTCCAAAATATTGCACGAAATGCATCATGGCCGAGCAATATCTGTTCAATTTCTACAAGAGTACAGTAGATTTTTGTTATATCTTTAGGTATTCAGCATACATGTGTAGATAAGTTTATGAGAAAGATTTTAATTCAGTTACAGTTTGAAATATTACATAAGGTGTTTTTGGAGGCTTGGTCAGGCGCTTCAATTCTTGACGGTCACAGATTTTCATTTCGTTTCTACGGCATACCTTTCGAGAATCGAGACTGATAGTCTCATGATATCCGACAACGACCATAGTTTTAAAAAGCGACGAACAGTCCCGTACTCTCTTACACTTTCCAATGTATCAATTAAAACGATAATCATGGTAGCAAATTAGAAAAAGTATTTATCTTGGAACGCATAAGGGTTTAAACCCAAGTAGAGGTATTCCCGTAGGCGTAGTATGTGTACTAGGTTAGGGATAGGCCATAATTTTATTACGAATTTCCTTTATATAGTTCTATTACGAGTTCGGGGACTATCTGTGTTAGCCAAGTCAATAAACCCCATGCACATAGGTTTCAGTCTTTTTAAATAACTTGATGTAAAGTCGGCGAACAAAATTAGTTACCTCCATATTGGTACACACACTTCTGGAGCGCCCAATAAGGGGACATATAGTGACATAGTCGCAGTCACGTCGTTCAATTGATAACCATTACAGTTTCGCAAATTTTCATTGATAATGAAACCTGTCATGGAATAAGGAAATGAGTTCCAAGCGTCATTATCCCTAGCGCGTTAGGAGTTATTATACCTCGCAACCAAAGCGTCACCATACAGACACCCGATATGAATCATATATGAGCCGAATTTACTGGTACGTTACATTATTAGCACATACTTAATCGAGTATTGATAGAGACAAATTCTATCAGTGAATATTAAGCAAGGTTTTATGTATCTGATCGTTAGAGCCGAAACAGGAAGGGCCGAAGTTTATCGAGACGCACTAGGTATTATTTATTTAAAAAAGGCGAGTTTAAAATTAGCTATATCCCGTTAGGCGTTGGTGTTAGGGTAGTTACTTAAATTGCTTGTATTTTATTGGACGCTACAGAAGTGTGTGTACCAATATGGAGATAGCTAATTTTGCTCCTAGGCCTTACATCAAGTTGTGTAAAACTGTAAAGGGACTTAAACCTATGGACATAGATAGTCCCGAACTCGTTATAGAACTAAAATAAGGAAAATCGTAATAAAATTATGGCCTAACCCTAACCTGGTACACACATTACGGGAGTACTTTTTGTTATAATATAAGGGTCATGTGTGAGATAGGGCTGGCGAGTGACTGCTACGAGGCTTCATATTAAACATGCGCACAATAGGTAAGCATCGTTTGCTTCTTTCTAATTGTGCGTGTTTACTGTAAAATGTGGATGTTGAGTGTTTTGTGTTGCGTCTAATGTATACTACGCGATGTTTATTGAGAAAATCAGAACTTTTAGCCGCGACGATTATTTTGCCCGTTGGGAACTTCTACAGGGAGTTTGCTCTATGAAAAGTCAGGCTTTGACTTTATAATTGTCATATTCCAGAAATGGCAAGTGTATTAGGAGCATGGATGGATTTCAAACTACACATCAAACAGAGGTGCCGAAACGCAAAACGGGTCTATTGCCAAGGTGTGCCGCGTCGGCGATAATTGACCCATTTACTAACTACAAGATAAACAATGTTAACGTTAAGAATTTTGGAGTAATTTAGAAATATAACAATCTGACGGAACCAGGAAGTCTGTCTGAACGGCATTGCTTTAGACTTGAAATGTAATAGTTAGTTTTGGTTTTAATGCAATGAGCGATGCATCTCTTTAATGACATAGTGCAGTGGTCCGAACTGGGGGATCGTGGCCCATCAAGGGGGTCTCAGAGCAGTTGTTGAGGGGGTACCTGCCAGGCGAAAAACTGATTCTCCTTTTACTAGAAAACTCCGCGTTCTTCCTATTTCCATTGCTTGATAAGGTTTTACAGGGTGTTTTCACTTTGTTGAGCATGAATTGTTTGAACATAATGGGATTTGGAATCCACCAATCAACACTATAAATACCACTGGGATGAAAAACAGGGGATATGGAAGGTTGGGAACCATTGGCGTAGTGAGTGCATGATAATGTTGGTATCGCAGGATAGGTTTGGAGTTAAATGTCTGATTGGCATATTCTTCAAACCAAACACTCACCAATAAATATCCTTACTAGCAGAAAATATATAATCATCATATTGGAAAATGGTTTTTAGTACCGGGCAATTTTGCCTGGTACTCATTATTCGTTAACAATGCTTTACATTATATGTTCAGAAGGCTGTCCATGCAACATTGTTCGAAGCCAATATGTGATACGTGTTGTATTTTATTGTACTAAGTATGCTTCTTGTTTTGCTATGGAAGCTACATATCCTTGATTTTTCATAATTGTTTAAAATTACATCACAGATATAAATATATTTATTAACAATAATAGAGAGATTAAGCCAGGATTTAAATTAATAAAAGCGGGAAATATACACAAAAATGGCGGGAAGTGATATCCCTCGGAAGGCGACGTACGATAACTTGTCAAATGAAGAAAAAATCCGGGTTTTAATTTTGGAAGAATTATTGGAAACAGAGAAGGAATATCTGCAAGTTCTCAAGTTCATGTCAGAGGTCTGTTTGCATATTTGTTTTCGAGGGTTCTCAAAAAAGGGTTATACTCAGTAGTGGGATTCAGCCGGTTCGCACCGGTTCTGTAGAACCGTCTCACGGAATTTTATGCGATCAGCGAACCGGTTATCATTACATGACTTTTTTTCACAAAACCGCCTGAAAATATGACATTTGTGTGTTGGAACCGGCTGACAAAAAAATTTGGGTGCTCCCGAAGTATGCGAACCAAGATGGCGGACATCGGAACGTAACATGGGTAACAGGTTAGGGTTAGGCAATAATTTTTTTCCAATTTTCCTTATTTTAGTCCTATTATCAGTTCGAAGACTAGCCAAGAGCCTCCCGTAGTATTTATATCCAAAATTATGGCCTAACCCTAACCTAGTACACATATTACATTCCGATGTCCGCCATCTTGGTTCGCATACTTCGGGAGCCCCAAATAATTGAAATATGTGAAAATAACAAAGATTTAGATCAAGCGTGGGCGAATAAGGGTCTGCGGGCCGGATCCAGCCCACCGTAGTGCTTCATCCGGCCCACGATTGTTACATTGTGCTTCTTAACAATATATGAACGTCAGCCTAATTTTTTAAATTAACTTTTTTTTTCATATTGAGTTTTGAGCCTTCAAATACCAGGTCTATTTTTTGTAACTCAAACTGGCAAAGAAAAGTAATTGCCCACTCCTGATTTATATGCGTTTAAAGCTGGTTGTTTGATCAAAATTTGAAGCCTTATACGAAAAGGATTTCAAAGTTATAGGAATATTAAAAATCAAAGATATATGTTTTCTTCATTTCTTCGAAATGTTTTTTTTTTCAAGTTTCGGCCTTTTGGTCCAAAGTGCTGGGTTCGATTTAGTAAGATGGGATTTACATACTTATCCCGGCGGAATGAACCCACAACGAAGGCCTAATCATATGGCGAACTGCGGCCAATGGTCCGGTTACCAATTCATGTCGGGTATGGGATTAGTTAGTCAGTGACTTGTTTCAGATGCATGGACTTGATGGTGGAGGAAGTCATAACCGACAGGCGATTGCATGAACCACCCACGGCGGCGAGGAGTCCAGCAATCCTCTCGCACATAATCAAGTATATACTCCATAATCAGCCAAACAAACGATAAAAACGGTAATGATCGCTGTTCATTTGAAGATTGTTTTTGTTACGGCTTGGAAGATAATCGGTGTATTACTCCAACCGCAGAATATCAATATTTTTGATTCATCCTTTTACTATATTACTGTACATATCGTTTCTATCACGGGTGAAATCTTTACTCATCGGAGTGTAAACGATTAATTTAGTTTTTATAGTGGGCGATTATAGGAACAGGAAGACGATAATTATATTGTTGTGTCATAATAAACATTTCATGATATACATTGTAAAATCATAGACTCGTTTTATTCGTAATATTGCGAATCTTTAATAATTTTTTTAGCGCAATTCATATTTTCGTTCAACACTCTAAACCAGAGGCGTGAAACTGTTTGTCGCAATGGGACAAAACCTAATATTCTGTTGACGCTGAGGACCAAATTATCGAATAACCTTTTTTATAATCACAACACGGCTACAATGAGTGATTAATAAATCCTCGCCGATCGAAATTTCATCTTGGTGTGACGTAACACAAACCATAGAAAAATATTGGCTACTAAGTCTATTACAGGCATCTACTCTGAGCAATGCTCTGGCAAGCAGTCATATATGTGTGTAAAGAAATTATGTTCTTAGATGGGCTGGCATTTTTTTTTTATTTAGAATTTTTTTTTTACAAAATCCATTTTATCCTAAGCGAGGTGTTTGACATAGGATTTGAACAAATGCCAGAGGTATTTAATCTATTTCTTGCTTGATATATCAATCCATCTCTTTTTCAGAAAATGAAGAAACAGCTCGAGAAATGTTCGAATCTCATAGAATACGAAATAGAAGAAGGGCAAGTGCGAGGTTTATTTGGTAAGAACTTTTATCGAACAGCAATTATAAAAGACACCAAGTGTGTCGCTGCTCAAAAACCAGTATTGTTTCTTTTAACCCTGCCTAAAATACCTACCATATCTACTCGATTTCTCTCTTTTATGTGCATGTGCACAGCCTGTATTCTCAGTATGTTGAAAAAAAACTACCGGTTTCTGGATATAGACAGCCATGATTGTGATCTGGATCTTTAGTTAAGAGGTTCAACCCCCGGTTCTCAATCCTGATCATTCATTTGAAATCGTACCAGAGGCCTCAAAGCGGGGAACATGGGTTTCTTTTATGATCTCTGGTCGATCTCGCGGTCGTAGGGTACGTTTAGCCAGATCTCTGGTCGATCTCGCGGTCGTAGGGTACGTTTGGCCATCCGTTCGGAAACGGCCTCATGGGCTGATTTCGCCCAAGTCTATTTCTAGACTTCCTGGCAAAAAAAATCTGTCTTTGTGGACAAAATAACAAGTTAGTATGTCATATTAAATTTGTTTTGGTTTTTTTGGAAAGCTTATGAAAATCTAACCCTGACGTCTTCCAGTGTAATTTTGAAATGATGGATGCCAGCTGGTACTTCCGTAGTGTGTGTACCAGGTTAGGGCTAGGTCATAATTTTGTTCCGATTATCCTTATTTTAGTTCTGTTAAGAGTTCGGGGACTGTCTGTGTTAGTCAAGTGAATATACCCCCTGCTCACAGGGTTCAGTCTCTTTACACAACTTGATGTAAAGTAGGCAAACAAAATTAGTTACCTCAATATTGGTACACACACTTCTGAAGCGCCGCCAGCTCATGCCAAACGGTCGTGCCCAACTATCAGCTGGTGTATCAACCACCGTTTCCAAAAGGAACTGACTCCTCTCCGATTTCAACTCTAAAGTAAAATCTTTTTCAAAGGTAACATTGACGAAATGTATGAAGTTCACAAAGCATTCTTCGCGTTGCTTCAAGAAGCGTTACCAGAAGGCCGAGTCAGAGATCCAAAGAATCATGTCGGACATTGCTTCATACAAATGGTGAGAATGCTTCAATCTGTGGCAACTTTTGTTTGAAGGAAAACTTATGTGTCCATGCCCACTGGTCTCCAACTACATTGTTTTCTATTCTTGCTTTGTTGTTTAAGTGAGCACTCCTCTCAAAATTATATCCATAAATCCAATATTTAGTTTAAAAAGTCGCGATTGAAATAATTTGACTAATTACTTATCGATCTTGATCGGTAAGTATGTTAATAGGTATTTGTCTGTTAGATACACGCGATATCTCACAAAAGTAAGATTGGATCTGCTGCAGATTTAGCATGTGCATTCATCATAGCTCGGATCAGAAGCCTATTGATTTTGGATGGATTATGTCGCATAATTAGCGAGTTATTAATTAATTAGTGATGGGACACACGGTGTCACTATGGAGTAAGACCACTGTTTTGGGGGATCCCCTAACCTTAGATCGACAAGTCTTCGGTTTCCAACCGAATTCTAGTTTTAGCTTTAACTCCAATTATTAGAGATTGTACAGGGTTTAGATAGGTCAGATTTCGTATTCTCTGTATTTCTTGCTGTGAAGGAATACGCACCAAGGAAATTTACATTATTGCACTCTGTCTATTTTTCTATTGAACTCGGATGGTTCCTTGCTAGCAGTTTTAGAACCGATCAGTTGAGAACCAATTTTATATTTGCAATGCCAATAAATCTCAAAATTTCGGGAAAATAACCCAATTAACAGAAATTTTAGAACAATTATTGATTCATTTTTCTCATTATTATAGCGGGATGCATTCCGAGTATACGATCTCTACAGTTCAAATCATTCAAGATCTCTCATTGTGATGTCAGAAATATCTTGTATGTCAACAATGCAACGTATTTATGAGGTAAGAAAAACCATATGTGTGGAACGCCTTATGCGCGCGCAATCAATTCTACGCCATTCGTCAATTAACCCGGCGCTCCGGAAGTATTCGTACCAAGATGACGCACATCCTGAACAACCTAACATGGTACAATACTATGTTCAGGTTGTGCGCCATCTTGGTACGAATACTTAATACTTCGGGAGCACCATTAAGCCAGTATTAAACAGTAGTTTCCAACGTTTTAGGACTTGTGGTCCGGAGGCTTTTAGAACTCATTACACCCTGTTTATCATTCCAGTGGTATTTATGATGTTTACTTGATTGGTGGATTTCAAATCCCATTATGTTCAAACAATTCATGCTCAACAAAGTGAAAACACCTGTGAAATAATCTTATCAAGCAATGAAACTGGAAAGAACGCAGAGTTTTCTTCTGTTGTGTTCTTCTTATACAGCCCTCGCTGCCTCTTGATACTTAGAATATATTATATATATTTGTTGAATACAAGCTTGGCCTAATATTAGGCAACATGCAGACGAGCCATGCAATACAATACTGACTTTGATAAAAATGACTCAATGCTGAAGGTGCATCGCATAAAGTCTTACAAAAGAAACCATATACGGTTTGTATAATTGACTGTAAGATGCGTAATATGTTGCACATGCCGCTGACAAACAGAATAAAATGCAAATTACGCAGACGTTTACAGAATCGAAACGTCTGAAGACTCGAGATTTTATTAGTATTAAAAGTAAATTCACTAATGGTCTTTAAAACAGACGTTTTATGGTTAAACGATAATAATCATTTCACGTTCTTTGCTTAATTAACTAATTTCAAGCTTTTTAAATACACATTATCTAAAATTTAATTTGTTTCAAGAGTTAGGTCTGTTTAAAAACAAATTGACATAAATTATCATGTCATGTCAACTCTTATGTTGAGATTAAAACTGCTAAAGGGGCTCGCTACTGACGGTATAGAGTTGTGGCTTGGGTTCGTCATGTTTTTTTTGGTATTAGACCTGCAATCTCCTGATCTGGCTCACTTATTACTATGAGGTGACCCTCTAAATAACGTTTTTACTAATAGCAAATTTGTCATTTTAAATTAAAAAATCTAAACAAAGAAGAAATGCGCAAATATATTGACAGATTTAGCCATTTTTTTGATTTCCAATTTCCCCATATTTTTGCGTGTTCGTTGTTACATTCTGTGGGAAAATTAAAATACCGTAATCTAATCCTTCCTAATTCTTTTTGCCAGGGTTGGAAGCAAGAATGTCCGACCAATCCAGAAAGATTCAGATCTTCAACGGTTTTAGAAGTTTATTTAAAGGCACCTTTACTAAGATTATGCAAATATAACGTCTTTTTGAAGGTGAGGGAATTATTATGCAAGTTTTCCATACAAGTTTCCTTAGAGCAGGGCTTCCCAACGTGGTCCAAACTTGACAAGCAAGGTTACAGGCATACTTTCGTGGCGGTCCAAAAATTGAATATGGTAATTATACTAAGTACACTAAAATTAAACAGTTCTATTAAAACAGCAAGTGAGTCACCTTGAATATCTCCAACAAACACTTGAGGGTTCATACGACGAGGGTCCACTGCGAAAAAAGGTTGGGGAGCCCGCCATGAACCTAAAATCTCTCCCAAGCAGTGTTCCCTCTAGAACAGGGGTTCCCAACCTTAATTGACCGCGGGCCAAAATTTGAAGCGGAGGGATGTTCGCGGGCTGGAAGAGTGTAGCGCCCGAAAGTGCGTGGGATGTCTATGCTTTTATGGTTCATAACTAAATTACTGCCTTATGTAATCATAATACCGGTACGAATAACTGAGATAACGCTTTAATTGAATTCTTACAATAAAAACACGTTATTAAAGTGTGATAATGGCGTTAAACACTTGGCGCTATCTAGAATGCAAAAAGGTGAAGCAAAATCTGTTGCACTAACTTCCACACTATTTCACACAAGCTCGGCGGGCCATTTTAAATCGTTATGCGGGCCGGATTTGGCCCGCGGTTTGGGGACCCCTGCTCTAGAGTGTGCGCGTGTGCGCGCGCACACAGCTTTCAGAGGCTGCGCACGCGCATACATTTACTGCGCACAGACGTATTTCGATGTAATTTAACAATGTTCTCGGTTGGCAGGTTGAGAAAGTTTGTTGTTGGCCCACTTATTACCTGGTTAGAACGCCAAAATTTCTTCATTGGTTTTTGCGTAAATATTAGTCATTTCCAAAAAAGTGCGCACACACCAAAATTTCTGCGCACACATACTACAGAAAATTAAAGGGAACATTGCTCTCAAGGATGGGAAAAACGGATAGGAGGTCGCAAGCAATCACCTAGAACTAAGAAATAAGTTTGCTTACTTACGCGAGGAGGCTGGTTTCAAACTCGCAAGTGCAAAGAGAAATCTAAATATTGGTTCATTATATGCAAGTTTGCTTATAGCGAAGTCTCTAGTCCTCTGCTGAATATTGGAGTACCGAATTTTGAATGCCGCTGCTCGATAACCAGTATTGGTTACCAATTCTGATGGCTGAATTAACTATCGTTACAAAAACTGACAGCAACACTTTAAGTTGTTGGACAAACTTGATTATGCCACGGTGACAAAAATGGCTGTAGTCGATAGGTGAAATACCGCGGTTTAGTGTGTAAAATTTCACTACAATAGTTTGAAATGCTTTTTTCATCACATTTGAGTGACATGTTTTCTAAAGTTCAGCACTAAATGCTATTTTGCAAAGTACTTTGTATTTCTTAAAATATTGAGAAAAAAAAGGACAAAGTATATTTTGTTTTTTAGGAACTCGGCACTTTCACCAGTTTAAACCATCCCGACCTCGGTGACGTCATCACAGCCCATCAAATCATGCATGCAATTATGACGTCAATGGATAGTGTCACCAGAATGGATTTGATGACGACAGCATTTGAAGACTGTGACGTGAACTGCAATAATTGGGAGAAAATCGGCCTAACTAATAAAGAAAGTTTTATGACGAAAAGAGGAGGAAATGTTAAGGTATGGAAGGGTGAAAACATCATATTTGTTGGGGCGCTCTCGTAGTATACGTACCAAGATGGCGCACAACCTGATAACCCTAACCTAGTACACATACTATGTTCAGGTTGTGCGTCATCTTGGTACGTATACTACGGGAGCACCTTTGTTGGGATAAAAAAAATATTTAGAGCGGGTTCTCTTTTGTATAGAACTCAGACCCTTATCCCATCCCACTAATATATAAATACTCACATTATCCAGTTATGACCAGGAATGCAGATTGCGCTGAAAATTCAAATTTCAAATCATTCCTAAGATCAACTGGATCATGGCTAATTTGTTATTTTGACGGGACGAGGGAATATTAGTAGGGGTGGGGCATAACTGAAAAAGGTCCTTGAACTCATTAACAACATATTCCCTAATTTTAGAAAACTAACGTATGTCACTACTACGTAAGCTACATTGACATAAAACGCTTTACATTATTTAATACAAAACGTCATTGAATGTACATTGAATTCCATGCGGTGACAGAATTTGAAATTTAGGAACATGTTCTCTTTTGTATCGAACCTTCTAACAACGGGTACCCTCATTTCAGAAAATGAATGTATTTCATTATGTAAGCTTCATTAACATAAAACGCTTAACAGAATCTTTTTAAAAGCCAAATATAACGCTAGTCGTCAGCTACGATGCACGTTACGAATTTGCTGCGGTCGTCTACCGAAGTTGTTCCAAACTTTTTCTGCGAGCGACCCAATAATTTGTTTTTCAAATGATTTTTTCAAAATCTTGCGACCCAAGAACAAGCTCAAATACTAAACGCATGTAGTACTTTTATGGCCGTAAACTTAACGACTATAAATATAAAACAGAAATTACCCCGAAGTGAGAATTCAACGCTTGTTTGGCATCAGCGAGTTTTTGAAATGCTGCCAAGTCATTACGATTTGATGCTTTCCATCTGTACAATTACAATTGAGCAATAATACAATACCAAATATATAATACGCAATTAGGTTTTTGTTGAAAAACAAACGAACCAAAAAAATTTGCAGGCGACCAAGTTTTAGGTCGCGACCCATAAGTTGGGAAACACTGGTTTACCGTATAAAACAAGAAAGAAGAGCTTAGAGCGAGTGCACGTGACCTTGCCTTTTGCAAATTCTTTAATCGGTTGAGACATTGAGTCGATCTTAGTTCAGTTTGGTTGAGGAAACCCGCCAATAAAAATTTAAAATATTCCGTGATCGGTGAAAAATGATCGATATGATACAGCGGTATCAATTTCAAAGAACTCCGTATTGTTTATATTTCCTCTATCACATCCTATGCTTTGTTTAATATCACAGAGTAAGTAAACCATAACACGACACTTCCGAAATATAATATTTAAGAATTTTTTGTTAACACAGACGCTGGATTGTTGAACTTACGGGTTGCCTATACTGGATTTCCGACTTTTCTCATTAATTCCCGCAACTGGCGCGTAGCCTGAAACGTTGGAGGGGGATGGGGACGGAGTTTTCTAGTTGCCAAGTTAGACCGTAACAGCTAGCAATGGTCGGTCGTTTGCGAGCTAATATTAAAAAAATGATAGCAAAGGCGAAAATATTTAGTTACAATCGCAGGCAGCTTCATCCGTGAAAAGTGTGGCACTACGGTGGCATCGTACATTACGTCTAATTACGATTCCAAACATATCTTTATTTAATCATATGCTGGATTTTATCAAGTTTCTCTAACAATTTTGTCATAACCTGAACCTCTAGTGATTTTTATTGTTTTCGTTTTCAGAGCTGGAAGATACGATGGTTCACATTGAAAGGAAACGAATTAAAATATTTCGACGAACCAGCTGTGAGTATTTTACTTCAAAAACACTAGTTATGGAAGTGATTCTCGACCTTTTTTTTGAGCAACCCAATTATTTTGAAAAATAAATTTTGTGATATTCCGCTACCAAATGATATTCTCAAATATTAGGCGGTATATAAACTATATGCCTTACTTGATCACAAAATTACCTGACTGACTAATGACAGCAAATGCCAAGTTTTTACGATGTGATTCCACATGTACAATTACTATTGAGAAACACTTCAATACAAATATACGAGTTAACAATAAAATTTACTAGAAAATAACAACAGTAACTTTCAAGTTTTTGTTGAAAAAGCAATTGAACCAAACCCAATTTTGGGTTCTTCCTTGGGACTTTGAAATGGTGCATGCTTGGGACTTTGCATTGGTGTGTGAAAATATAAAAAAATATTATTTGGTATTTCATGCTTATTAACAGGGTGATACTTTTCACATATGATAAGTACTATATGCGCAAAGTGAGCCTATGGGTCGTATTTCTAAAATTGATTTTGTAATGAAAAATATTTATTTTTATCTCAACTATTGTTGCTTTGAAAGTTTTAAATTACCGAAACACTTCAGTACATTTAAGGTGGTGGGCTTGATGGATAAATCCGTCCAATCAAAAGCTATCTAGTATTTCAAATTATTCAAAATCTGGCATGTGATTGATGAAAAATTCAAAACACAGACTCGACAATTTCAAAAACTTAGTCATCGGGAAATTCTATAGTGAAAATTTTAAACTAATTTGGAAATTCCGACTATGCATCCTGTTGAATTTCTAAAAATGCATTTTTAACAAATCACTGAATCAGAATGTTTCAAATAAAATCAGTTCCAAGGTTTAATATTCTACCGACTAAACACGCCACACCAGTTACTTTGCAATTTAAAGCTAAATTAGATATGAAATCGAATATACTTGGACGAATATCAATGAAAATTTCAAAACACAGACTCGACAATTTCAAAAACTTAGTCGTCGGGAAATTCTATAGTGAAAATTTTAAACACAGTTGGAAATTCCGACTATGCATCCTGTTGAATTTCTAAAAATGCATTTTTAACAATTTACAGAATCAGAATGTTTCAATTAAAATCAGTTCCAACGTTTAATATTCTACCGACTAAACACGCCACACCAGTTATTTTTGCAAATTTATAGCAAAATTAGATATGAAATCGAATATACCCGGACGGATAATAATAAAATATTAGAGTTGTCGCAATTTGAATTGCCTCTTCCGCAGAGAGCAATTGACAAAGGGTTTGAGAGTCGAAACCCTCAGCATTTTTTCGGTGTCATGCAAAGCAATTATTACTTATCGATTTTAATCGATAAGTATGTTGATAGATACTTGTCTGTCTGTATGTCTGTTAGATGCACGCGATATATCACGAAAGCGAGATTGAATCTGCTCCAGATTTTGCATGTGCATTCATCTTATCTCGGACCAGAAGCTTATTGATTTTTGGCGAATTATGTCGTATAATTAGCGAGTTATTGATTAATTAGTGATGGGACACAAGGTGTCACTGTGGAGTAAAAGCGCTGTTTTGGGGATCCTCTAACCTTTGATCGATAAGTCTTCGGTCTCTGACCGATATTCTCGTTTGAATGTTTGAAAAGTTTTCAGATCCCCACGTTTTCCGACGTCAGATCAGACCTGTCAGCTGATACGGCCTAACTTGACAAATGGAAAGTTCAGAACCCGTTTTAAAAATGCATGACTATGCCCCATTTATTGGCTTGCCATTCCGACAGCAGGGCAGAAATAGTTGATTGCCACGAAGTGCAATATTTTATTCAAAGATAACACGCAATTTTGCAAAACCCCGGCCTCTGCTCTGACCGAATAATCCATTTCAAAGTCCCACTTAGATTTCGTAATATTACGTCAAAATGCAAACTTATTTGCGGCAACTTCTTATTTCTGCGTAGTATCTTCAACATATGTTACGTGGATGCAGTATTGACACTAAGTTTTTAGTTAAATTCTTGATATTTCTATTTAGAACGAAAAACCACTGAACACGTTAGATTTGAAGCTATGTCGACACCTAGTGGAGGACGGGACTCTTGGAAAGCCTCATTGTTTTGGGTAAGTACAGCAGACTTTTTCACAAACAGCTAATTGAAGTGTAATACTTGTGAGGAAAGAGAATTTGACAACATATCTGGTTTAGAATTTTGGCTTTTCTTTTTGAGTTTTCTCTGTTTAATTAGGTTATATTCATACTGCCCTAACAATGTCTTTTGCAACACCTATTCCGGCTTTTTTTAAAGTTCAACAATATTAAACTTGGATCAGAAAAGGGAATAGGGGATATTAATATTGTTAGAAATCAAGTTTTTTTAACTCCATGGCTACAATTTTATTGTGCCGTCATAATGATTCCAATCACAAAATCGATTTTGCAAAGACAGTTATTAGAATTTTTGGTACTCCCGAAGTATGTGATCCAAGATGGCGGACACCGGAACATAGAATGTGTAAGTTATGGCCTAACCCTAACCTGGTACACATACTACGTTCCGGTGTCCGCCATCTTGGTTCACATACTTCCGGAGTACCGAATTTTTTTTGTGTTGGTCCCAATATTTTATGTGACAAATTGTGAGATGTCTCTTTTATTTTTTGAAGGGGTAATTGATCTTTTGGGAATTCGATTTAAAAAATTGGCTGGCTCGGCGTTACAAACTGTTGGCGTATGAATTTGACATTATTTGCCACGAAACCTAAATTGTGACAAACCATTTTTTCATGAGTTTCATTCTCTCTAATGAAGGAAAATTCGTTACCACATGTAAGAATGATTGTGCAATCATTGTCATATTAAGTTGCCCAAAGCAAGGACTTGACAGCACTACGTGCACAAAACGTGTAGATTTATGAATTTGCTTTTTTTCAGATTCGTCATGCCTGATCGGACCTACCACGCCTACTGCACAAGCGAAGCCGAAAAAATGGAATGGATGAACGCCATCGCGTGGAGGCTTTTCAACCAGTTACCCGCCCAGATGAGGGCGGGGCAGTGCATATCATCCTCTGCTCTCTCTACCAGCACCGCGTCACCTATACTCGGTCTGGTGCAAAAAAACAGTCCCACACACGCAGCAAACGGCAACTCGACTGGATCAGGGTGACGTAATCAATCCATGACGTCATAGACTTTTTTATTTCGTCTTCGAAAATTGCCCAGACATTTGCGAAACCCTAGCGTGGTGTAATGAAGTATGACGCCACTTCAACGTATGACGTCACAAACTACCAAAGTCGCGTTCTTTCTATATGATGTAAAAGAGAAAATCATTTTAACATTTGTAATTGTATATTTCATCAAATGTTTTTATTTCATCAAACATTTTGTGCAATTTTTAATCGAATTTGCTAAACTTTCTGTAAGATAGTTTGATTTAATTTTTATGCGCTTCTCCCAAGATTGGACTCACGCTACTACCCTTTTGAATGAATTGACTGAGTCCCTTTCTCACACAAAGTTTGAAAAGAAAGTTTTTTCTTACCAGTCACTGCAAATTTCAGGTAGTTACCAGCAAGCAGAGATTTCTCTTTGAACTATATCATTCAAAAAAATAACGATACAATGTAGCAACTCGTGCTACCCGACTTTAATCTGATACAGAGAACTAGCGAAAGCTAAACTTGCAAAAGGTTTTTGTTTTATTTGAATTCATAGCTGACTTCTGAGAAACTTTCGTATGTTTAAAATCAAATCTTGTAAATTAATCGTTCATTTTAAGAAGCAAGATAATTAAATTTGCCGTTTACGTTCTATCATGCTGGGGTTGTGTCAAATTAAACCCTCTAGAATTCAGATTTTTATATCATTTTCCCACTCTTTCGTTTGTAACCAAGCTACAGACACACATGGTGTTCACTTTGTTGAGCACGAATTGTTTGAACATAATGAGATTTTGAATCTACCAATCAAAATAACACCATAAATACCACTGGAATGATAAACAGGGGGTTATGAGTGCTAAAAGCCCCCGAAAGGGGGGGTCGGGGGCCATAAAATGTTGGAAACCACAGCCTAGTATCTAATACTTTCAAATGACCGGGAACGCAACCACCGGCACGTTAGAGGCCACTACTTTAAGCACAGACAGTTTCAAGCACGACACAGTGTGATCACATATTTTATTAGTCCAATATCCACGCAGAACATTTGTACTCAATTGCAAAACATAATTCAAGAACATATACATTGTGGATAGCACCAATTCAATCCCTAATATTTACCATTTCCTAGAAGCCCTTTAAAAATCTAACCAAGAGAAGCCATTAACATTAGTCACCAAAAATTCGTATCAGAGATTAGGACCTTTTTCCAGTTATCCCTCCCACTAGTATATGAATACTCACACTCACTAATAGAAGTATTTTGTTTATGAGGTTCATTCATCTTTATCAAGGCTTTCACCATTTAGTTTTTGGGGGGTAACTGGAAAAGGTCTAAAGGTTCTAATCAATATTATTTAACATTCTCTAATTTTTTCATTTCATATTCCTATAAATTTTGTCAAGTTTATTTAAAGAATCTAATGTAATATTCTGATTTTTTACACTTCTACTATCGCAACGTTTAAGAAAATCTCTTAATAATAAACAAGGTTTACTGTAATATTAGTTTTATTATTCCAAGTATCAGTATCAGTAATTTACTTTTTCCACCATTTGAAAATACGCAAGCTACATATACAAAATGAAATAAAAGAAGAATAGCATTTCATGGTGGAGGGAAACGCTGAAAAACCAGTACTGGTTATCGAGCAGCGACACCCTGGAAACAGGAATTTAATCGCTGATTATCTTTTGTGAGAATTTGTTAAGAAAATAAAGTCATGCTCAATTACAAGAAAAGGAGATGCGTTGCTGAGTAAAATCATAGACATCCAATGTACTGTCAAGAACTGTTATATAGAATTATGGAAGTGCAATATACGCATTCACTCAAAAGTAAAGGAGATCCATCTCTGAGCAAAGAAAAACTGCTGAAACTATATTCAATTAATAACGCTCCATTACGCACCTTGATTAGAATTAAAGTAAACTTTTTTCTGAGCAAAGGTACGGGTAATCACTGAGATACTGAAACTATACAGAACAGGGTGTGTGAGTTTGCGGGTACCCCCCCCCCCCCCTATATTCAAAATAAAAATTGTTCTCTATCATACATCGCTTTTTAGACCCTCAACTTGCGTTTTCCGGGCCGCTAGCTGTTACGGTCTAACTTAACTTGGCAACTAGAAATTTCAGAACCCACCCTTCGAAAATTCCTCGCTACGCCTCTGATAAAGGCTGGCGGAGCATTGCGCGCCAGTAAATGGCACTTGAAGCCAGACTTGCAGCAGTTCAAGACAATACGGTAAGAAATATACAATGTCGAATCGAATTTAATTTTTTGAAGGGGAAATAGTTAGCAGGATATTTTGTTTTCAGATGCGTAGATTGATGGTGGAGGGAGCCGTTGGTTACGTGAACCCCCCTACGGCGACGAGGAGTCCAGTAATTCTCTGGCACATGATTAACTTCGTATCATAAGCATTTTGCATAGGAATACTCATTCAATTACCCGTCCCTATTGCACAAATGGACATATTTTGATGCGGTAATAACTGCATGACGTGATTTCTCATATCACGCGGGTATTTTAAATTTCCAAAATGAGAAAATAGAAAGCACCAAAATGTATTTTAAAACATTGTCTGTTCGACGTTGTTTTGGTACTCTCGCTCCAAACAAGGCCCAGTACCACCAAGCCACTCATATGTAAGAATATGCATGGCAAAAATGTTCGTTCGCACATCAGCTTTTATCAAAAACGACATGAAGCCATACCGACAACGCCGTGGGAAATTGGTTTTGATCAAATTGCTTTATTAAGGAGGATAATGTGACCATGAAGCTAAAATAAGAACGCGGAACCAATGTGATTTTAATTATTCATTATTCTCCGCATAGCACGACCGCAGCTGCGAAAAGATAAAGAATTTAATGGCAATTGGATGGTAATTAGATGCAGCACGATTGTAGGCAGTTTGTATGAGACGTTTTAATACAGTGGTTTCCAGTAGAAAGCGAGAGCTCCGACATAAGGCCGGAAACATGGGTTTTCAAAAGCCTTGAGGATTAAAAAACGTTTCAAGCTACGAAAATGGCGATGTATGATACAGAAAATGCTTTCTTTTACTTATTGAATGGGAGGGATGGGGCCTCCGACCCGCAACTCCTATTGGGTACGCTCCGGTTTTTAAAGCTTAGCTATGCTGGCGATACATGTTGAATATCACGTGTTCCCTTGCCTCGTCTTCGAAATGTAATAAATTGGGTATAGCATAGGCAATGTCGAAACGGGCAGATTTCGGTTTTCGCAAAGCCTGGTGACGACTTATCTATCTAGTGGCTTGTTCAGCGTGATGATGTGACAAATGCCTAAAGGAAAAAATTAATATTTATATCCTCGGGATTGACTATTTTTATTTAAGCTGGTGACCGTACATTTGAACCCACTTACATTTGAACCCATATGTATATCCGCGGGTTCAATCTATTTGCGGGTGCTAAAACCCATGGGTTAGGGTTAGTATGAGTACAAATATCCGCAGAACAAACAAAAAAATTTCCATAGATGCAATAGTATGCAGGTGCAATTGTCGTGGGTTCAGATGTACGTGGAACTCGTTAAGTTAAATCACCGGTTTTCAAACAGTGGGTAAGGCCCACTTCTGGGGCGCAAAAACATTTTCAAGTGGGCCACCCAACTTATTGAAAATTGCCGGAATTATTGATAAATTAGTTAAACTTTGATTGCTGTAGCAATGAATGCTGCCGCTGCTATTTGGCGGTAATTCTCATTTCAATCAATTAGATAGTGGAAGTGTCTGTCTATGCAAAAACAATTTTTTGTTTTTTTTTCTGTAGTTTTTCTCTTGCATACGAAAGGTAATGGGTCACAGAATTTTTTCAGTCCTTCCAAAGTATGCGAATTAAGATGGCGGGCACCGGAAAGTAGTATGTGTACCAGGTGAGGGTTAGGCCATAATTTCAGGTACAAATACTACGGGAGTCACTTGGCTAGTCCCCGAACTCGTGATAGAACTAAAATAAGGACAACTGGATTAAGACTATGACCCAACCCTAATCTGGTATACATACTACGTTCCGGTGTCCGCCACCTTGGTTCATATACTTCGGGAGTACCATTTTTTTCTGCAACATGAGTGGGACGCAAAAGAAAAACGATTAAGAACAACTGAGCTAGATTAAAAGCAAGGCTATCTGCACAATATCATTTTGATAGATCAATAGGGTAAAGAATACAAAACAAAAGTATTGTCTTATATATGTGCAGTTGTGAATAGGCGAATAATCAATCAAACTACAGTTCATATATCGACCACACTCGGCAGAGGAAAGTTTAAAGCAAGAATTAATCACACGCAGTCGAAAGAAAATTTTTGAAGGGAAAATGCAGCCATGTTGTGATTAAATTTGCAGTGCTTCAACCGACTTATATATTAGACAAGGTGTTGGCTGTATAAGATCATTTTGGTATTACTGTAGATTTATTGTATCAGACAACTCGTTTTCTTTTAATTCATTAGATCCTAGACCGGTTACATTCAAATTTGAAGTATCGCTTAAGATAGACGTATCTCTCAGGGTGACCGTACATTTGAACCCACGTACATTTGAACCCATGTGTATATCCACGGGTTCAACCTATATGCGGGTGCTAAAACCCATGGGTTAGGGTTAGTATGGGTTTAACTATCCGAAAAACAAAAAAAATTCCATAGGTGCAATAGCATACAGGTGCAATTGCCATGGGTTCAAATGTACGTGGGTTCAAATGTAATGGAACCATTTCTCAGATGATATTACTTTTTTATCAAATTCTCCATAAGCTTTGAAAACTAGGCAGATTTTTGGCGATTGTATCACCGTGTCGCGAGTTATTCAAGTGCAGGGTGTCTATAAGATATTAAAATGTTTCAAAATTCCAAAGAGAATTAATCGATATCAAATACTGTTTTGGCCTTCAGAGATATATTAAATGAAGTAAAATATATTTACTGATTAAAAAACAACAAACCTGGTTAAGATATGTTTAGAACTAATATAACAAAATCGAAATTGTAAGAGGACTTTACTGACACCCGTATTGTGAATATTTCAACGTACAACTCGTTTTCATACTAGTTTCTTATCAATTACTAGTTGCATTCAAATTTGCACTATGTATAGATGAAAGTCAGGATATTACTTTAGGACAGGGCTCCCAGACGTGGAACTAACTCTACGTGTGCGATTCCAGGGGGTTCACAGATAAAGTGCAGCAGCGGTATCTTAGGGCAGGGGTGTGAAACCTTTATTACAGAAGGGCCAGATTCAAGTAATTGGGTGGAGCCGCGGGCCGCACTTTTATTTAAGGTGTAATTTCTAGTAGTTAAAGTAGTTGAAGTTTTTGCTAGCTAGTTTTGCTAATATTACAGTGGCACTCGGATACTGTTATAGGCTTTGCGACGCAAGGGAAATGGAATTTTGTCGCGCGTACCAGAATAACTAAACCATATAACTCGTTTCGCGGGCACACTATTCGAAAATGGAACTTCTCCGCGAGCCGCACAATATTTCCTTGCGGGCCGCATTTGGCCCGCGGGCCGCAGTTTGCACACCCCTGTCTTAGGGTTCTAAATTGAGAAGGGAGACAATAAAGTAATTAAATTACCCTATCAGATACAATTGAAGTGCTATGAGCGTTGACTATTTAAAATTGGAATCGATATGAATATGCAAAGTTAGTACCCGAACTAATTAAAAGGCTTAAACTCGACAGACAAGTGCCACAGGCCACTGAAGCAATATGTGAACCCAGATGGCGGAAAACGTAACGTAGAAGGTTTACCAGGTTAAGGATACGCCATAATTTCAAGTACAAATACTACGGGAGTCCCTTGGCTAGTCCCCGAACACGTAATAGAACTAAAATAACGAAAATAGGAATAAAATTATGGTCCAACCCTAACCTGGTACACATACTATGTTCGGGTGTCCGCTATCCGTCCGGTTCACATACTACGGGAGCGCCGGATAGGGATATGGCTTTGTAATTTATTACGGAAGAGTATAGATGATCGGACGGCTTAGCGGCATGACAAACAACGATATGATCTGAGTATATACGTATTTGAACATTTCTCTTTTGCCTCGTCCGAAATATAATTTCTCTTAACCTCGAAGTAAGTTCAAGTGTTAAATTATTAATTCGCGCAATATATTAATATCATGGATTATCTCGGACGCCATAAAATTATTGGACACAAAATGTATAGTTATTGATCGATTTGCATATTTGTCTGCTGTTCTTGTTGGTTTTTTGAGTTTGTTGTAGTGAAAAACCCGTATTAAGGCGGGCACCCTTGAGGCACCCTATTTAAGGCGTGCAAATAAATGCCAGTTGTAAAAGTTATGACACGAAATGTATCCTTATTGATCGTTTTACAAATTTGTCTGTTTTTTGTTGGGTTGGGTTTGTTGTTATGAAATAATCGCCCTCCGCTGGACCAGTCGATTTCAATTTTTAGTACTTAGGAATGAAAGAAGTTTCCAGAACAGAAT